TGCGAAGCGCACTGTCCAGTCCCCGATCGACGATCGACACGCGGATGCAGTCAACATGTCCCAACCATATTTCTTCTCGCCTCATTCCATCGAATCGCGAATGGTCGGGAGTGTGTGGGGGGAGTGGCAAGTTGTATCCTGTTTCTGTCGGTCTTCAAATCTCGTCCCCTCCTGCATGTCCTTCGACAAAACGAGACGGCCGGGGGAATGTGTATCGAATCGATGACTTTGGCCAGAGAGCCCGAGAAGATTTTGAATTTCGATTTTGAGTGTTGAGTCAAGGCTTGAGGGGACGCGGGGTGAATCACGTGCCGTTGCATGACGCCCGAACTCTTGAATGCGATATGCGCGCGTTTGGGGGCGCACAAGCCACCTACCTCGATGGAAATCTGGATGAGCGTTAGCCATGCAGGCGTAGATCCAGCAAGCCATGGCGCTGCTATACAGCCAAAGGTGGCCACGACTTTGCCATTCACGATTCCCCCCTCACTCACCGCTAACCGTGCGTGACAGCTCGCTTGCTTCAGCATCCCCTTGACTCTGACTCTTCATCCACCTTTACAACAATCAAGTGCGATACCAAGGGAGCTGTTAGAGCACGAGGACGATAGGATAAGCGCAAGGACGATATGGGAGGATCAGAGAGCGCGCCAGTTGCGGGAGGGGATCGGCAAGAGGCCATCGCGCCCAATGCGCTGAATGCGCCCGCATTCAATCGTCTAGCCGGTGAGCATCGATGCAGACTTTTTCCCGGCGCTCTGCCATATTCCTCCTTTGCGCGCCTTCTTTACTTCTCCTGTGCGCCTTTCCCCCTGGCTCACAATGTTCCCGTCTTTGCGACCCTCACCAACTCTGCATTCCCACACAAAACAGGCAAACGCATCATTCTCGCCTCTTCTTCCCCTCGCAGACTGGACATTCTCGCGACTGTCGGAATCAGACCGGAAGTGGTGCCTAGCACATTTGATGAGAGTTTGGACAAGGATGACTTTGTTGGAGCTAGCATTTTGGAATATCCGGTCGAGACGAGTGCTAGAAAGGCGAGTCTTGTTGCCATTTTCCCCTTCTTTCTTTTCCTTTTTGCTTTCTTCGTTGGCGCATGTATGCACACCATCTGAGCATCACGGAGCAGAGCGCGCACCTAGCTTACTGCGTGATCGTAGGGAGTCGCGGCAGATGCAACCTGGGCTGACCTCGCTGCATGCTCTCGCCCCCCGTCCCATCTCTCGCACTAATCCTCTTGCCCTGCAGGCAATCGAAGTGTACGAAAGGCTGTTGGTGAGCTGCACAAGCCTTGCCAAGGTTGCTGCGCTTGGTGACGAAGCTCAGCTCAACATTCACCCGTCTTGTCCCTCCACTTTGGCTCATCAGAAAGAGAACCCGGCGGATCCTCCAGATCTGATCATTGCCGGTAAGATCAGTCTCGCTTTCGCAGCTTGCGACGGTGACTCCAGGCTGCTCACGCAACGTGCCTTTTGACGTACGCGCCCACGTGGCAGCCGATACGGTGGTGGTCAAAGGCGAAGAGATTCTGGAAAAGCCAAAGGATCGGCTGGATCATATTCGCATGCTGGCCGATCTGAATGATGGAGAAGTGAGAGACGCTGACAAAGGAAGGAGCGGTGAGAGGCACAGCGGTTCATTCGTCTCCGCTGACACTCCTTTACTGCTTTTCTCCGGCAGTGCGAAGTGATCACGGGCGTGACGCTGATTCACCCGATCATCCAAGCGCCCGGTTTCAAAGTTCGTTCCATCTCCGAACGCACAAAGGTCTTCTTTGCCGCCAATCCTGCCGAACTTTTGAAAGCGTACGTGGAGGATGGGGAAGGAGCGGATCGGGCAGGCGGCTTTGCGGTGCAGGGCAAAGGTGCGCTGCTGGTCAGAGCCATCGAGGGCGATTACAACAACGTCGTCGGTTTTCCACTCTTTAGCTTTTGGTGAGTGAGAGTGAGAGTGAGAGTGAGGTCTGCCGGTGGGGGGTTGAGAAGGAGCTAGCGTTCCAAAGCAAGACGAAGCGTGGCTCATGCTTTTTTTTCGGTCGATATTCGACTCGACACCTTGACGCGCAGCGCTTTCTTGCACGAGCTCATCGGGACGGAAGAATTGGAATTCGTTTGAGATTCCAAAGCCCCCAACACGACTTGCGCCCGCGCCCCTTTTGGGGTCAGAGGTGAAAGAGGGCGATCTGGAAAGCGAATGTCGTATTGCGCGCAGCCTCGATGTAGCAGCCGGGCAGCCGAGCGATGCTAGGCGCGCCCACCCCTTTCCCGCTGCGATACTTCTTGTCGAGGCTCGAGCGCTCCAATGCAGAGGACGATTTGTGACCTCGACTCTCGCTCTCACCGATC